TTTAGCAAAAAACTTAGTGCATTTTATTTTCATGGCTGTTTCTATAAGGACAGCAAATGTGCTATTGCTATATGCTTTAGCAAAAAACTTAGTGCATTTTATTTTCATGGCTGTTTCTATAAGGACAGCAAATGTGCTATTGCTATATGCTTTAGCAAAAAACTTAGTGCATTTTATTTTCATGGCTGTTTCTATAAGGACAGCAAATGTGCTATTGCTATATGCTTTAGCAAAAAACTTAGTGCATTTTATTTTCATGGCTGTTTCTATAAGGACAGCAAATGTGCTATTGCTATATGCTTTAGCAAAAAACTTAGTGCATTTTATTTTCATGGCTGTTTCTATAAGGACAGCAAATGTGCTATTGCTATATGCTTTAGCAAAAAACTTAGTGCATTTTATTTTCATGGCTGTTTCTATAAGGACAGCAAATGTGCTATTGCTATATGCTTTAGCAAAAAACTTAGTGCATTTTATTTTCATGGCTGTTTCTATAAGGACAGCAAATGTGCTATTGCTATATGCTTTAGCAAAAAACTTAGTGCATTTTATTTTCATGGCTGTTTCTATAAGGACAGCAAATGCTTACTGCTATATGCTTTAGCAAAAAAAAATAGTGCACTAATTTAATTTTCATAGCTGTTTCTATAAGGACAGCAAGGTTGCTGTTGCTATATGCTTTAGCAAAAATAGACTTGTTTGCTACTAGCTTCTATAAAATGCTAGTTACTAAGGCTATACACTGCCAAAAGATGTCATTTCTATATGGATGGTATCTTTAAGCTAGTAGCAATTTAACTAGATTAAACAATAGCTAGTGCATGTTCTGGTAGTAAATATTTTTACATTTGTGTTCATTTGAATATATGCTCTGATGTCCCAAGTGGTTCAACGATGTGGCTAAGGCTAATCAAGTGTGGATATATATACAGTATACTAATCCTATGGCAATTATATGTTGGACTTAAAAGTGGACTTACTAATTATTCAATGTGGATTATATTATGTGGATAAAAGATCAGGGTAATTTTAATGGGTGTACTTCTTGACAGTGTTACAGTTTGCAGACATATGTCGTATGGAAAGCGTATGAAATAATTTTTTTTATTTGTATACAACCATTTGATCAGCACAGTGCATGAAAGACTTGGTGGTCAGTAGGTTGCATTTACACACACTAAAACATACATTTTTAATGATATCGTTTAAAAACAAAAATTTTCTTCATTTGTCTTAAACTTGTGTGTAAATACAGCCTATATATGGTAATTGACAAGCGAGACTTTGCCAGATTAAAATTGAAAGATTTAGCCAGATTTAAATGTGTTAGGTAATCACAAACATTTGGAGATATGTCTGGCAAAGTCTTGCTTGGTTGCATAGTTAAGCAGGAGGTACAAATGGTACCACAAGAGGATAAAGACACAGATTTCCCCAGCGAGTAGAGCAATTGTCTCTCTTCCCTTCCCCAACCATGCGCATAAGGGAGAGGATTGCTTGCTGGCTGGGTTGAGTTAACTAACCTCCGGAACCCCCTCCAATTATGCCATATTTATTTATGAAGATGACGCTTACGGGACAATTGTGGAACATTTGTCCGGATGGTGTCGTTTTCATATTTTTAATATGGCATAATTGGCTTTCTTTTTTTCAGGTTTATAGTATATAGCTTGCTTAGAAGCTGTAAGTAGATGTTGCATATTTAATAATGTAAATGACCACCAAGTATTAGGCAATATAGGTTAAGAATGTGGTTAAATTATTAAGGGGAAAATGGGTGTGGCTAGGATCGAGTACAAAATAAATGCAAAATAATTCGGAGAAAAAAAGCAAATAAAAATTGAAAATTAAAATTCTGCTACAATATGGTGAATACAATATGGCGAATATACAATATGGCGAATATACAATATGGCGAATATACAATATGGTGCATTGTTACTATATATAGCCTTGTAGTTTCCATAAGTGTTGATGTAAATAGTCGAGTAGAAAAATTTAAAAAAACACCAAATGTAAATATCTAATTCAATTGAATGTAATATTTAAATACAGAGCAAAAAGCTATGTTGTGGTGTGTTTGCATGTTGAAACAGCTTGTTCTCATTCCTTTCTTTCACAAAATGCAGTCGTCTTTACCTTCTGACTGTTACACATGACTTGCACATACATGCAGTTTACAAACACTTAGCTGTATATAGTTCTTTTAATCTGTTTATTAAATTTATTATAAAACACAAGAATTAATTGCTTCATACTAATATTCTCTTCTCTTTTTTTTAGGTGAATCAACATAGATTTCTTCCTTTTTCTCATCTTTTAGGTTTTTATATTTTGTCCACTAACATATTATACTTTCTTTTTCTCGTTTTTTAGGTTTTTACATTTTTAGTGTCCACTAACATATATTATATACTTTCTTTTTCTCGTTTTTAGGTTTTTATTATATTATACTTTCTTTTTCTCTTTTTTTAAGGTGTTTCTCTTTTAGGTTCACTAACGTATTTTATTTTTTTTCTCTCTTTCTTAGAATTTCTCTTTTTAGAAATTTCTCTTTTCAGGTTTTTACTAACATTTTCCCTTTCTAGGAATTAACTAACATATTTTATTTCTTTTCTCTCTTTCTTAGAATTTCTCTTTTTAGGAATTTCTCTTTTCAGGTTTTTACTAACATTTTTCCTTCCTAGGATTTAACATTTTCCCTTTCTAGGATTTAATTAATAATTTCTGTACATTTTATCTGAAATGAATGCATAAATTTGTGATAAAACTTGTAAATGCATTCATTTTTTCAATAAAAATAAAAATCTCTCTGTCTCTGTGTTCTCACTACATATATATAGATGAAAAAATAATTTTTTTGTAAATATTTTTATATAAATAAAAGTCGTCAGCTGTGTCTGTTGTCGTTGATTATTGCATGAGAGAGGGTTTTGAATGAATGAATGAACAACTTTATTTAAAGAGGGTAGAAACACATGACAGCAATATAGCTGAAAAACCTGTGGCCCTCATATACAATACATACAAAGTTATTAATTCTACTTTAAAGCGTCTAAAAGCTACTTAGAGTAAATATGTAAAAGATCTTAGGATTATAAATTTATATATACAAATTATATACAGTACAACTTGATGGTACGTCACAATAATAATTCGAAGTGATCGATGCCCTTATAAGATTCTAAGAAGTATTTTTTAAGGGCAAACTTAAAGGAATTAACGCTAGGTTTTGTCTTAATATCCTTCGGGAGATTGTTCCATATTTTAATGCTGCTGACCGTTACAGATTTTCCTCCCTCAGTTGCATAATTATATTTAGGACACACTAAATTATATTCGCCATGACGAGTTTGTCTACCATTAATTTCATTGTTTGTTTTAAATAAGTCCTTAATATATTGTGGAGCTTGATCATGCAGGCTCTTGTAAATACTAAAGTGTTTTCCTCCGGGCTGCCCGGTTTCCCTCTCTATATACTTACACCCTTTTCTGATTGGCTTTGACATACAACATGCTACAAGTCTGAATAAGTTGCATTACATTAAAGATGCGGTACAGTTCGTATGTAAACAAAGGCTTTGTTTACATTTCGGTATCCAAAATATTGAATTTTATTCAACAACTATTTATATTTTCATGATTCTAGAGTATAATAAATTATCAAGAGACAACAATTAAGCTTTGCAAGAACATAAAATGAAATAGAAACCTAAATAAACTGTTTGTAAATAAAAAGAGGGCTCCTTTGTGCACATGCGCAGGTCGGACTGTACCGCATCTTTAATAAAAAACTCAATATATAGAACCAACTTTTCTTGATAGTTGATACTGTATGCAAACATATGTGCACACACTAAAATGAAAACCAAAATAAAAAAGTGTCCACGTTTCGGAACCAAGACTGGTTATAGGGTTAGATCCCCAGTGAGTGTGCACTGATTCTCAATTCTAATATTCTAGTCTCTTATTGGTTGAATGTTTATCTGACTGTACTGCAGGCATCAATATGAAAGGCTAATAATTTTGGTCATGATGCATGAGAACGAGGCTCCCGGTGGTACCCAGATCTGGGGCCAGTTGTTCAAAAGCCGGTTAGTCTATTTAAACCCTGGGTTAACACAAATCTACAAATTAAATTTTCCAACAGCTCATCAATCAAGTTGAATATGTTTTTCCAGAAATCTTTTCTGGTTCAAAAGAGGTTTTATTTTCTAAAGTTTGGAAACGAATGATCATGCAGAAATTGAGAAATACATAAATAAAAACAGCTGGTTAAAATTTAACCCAGGGTACGTTGGCCCCTGGTCTTTGTGTTCACAAAAATACTGTTCCCGATAAATAACTGTTAAATATTTACCCACTTTAGCTACTTAACCATATAGCATATCAAACGAAGAATCTTTTCGCCATAAATGTCAAATAAAAGAAAATTTTATTTCAAGAAATAAATTCAGTAGAAATTATGCTGAATAAATTATACAACCCGTTCGCGGGCTAAATTCAAAATGGCGCTTCACTGTTAACGCTAGATCATTGTAAACAGCAGTTTTTAAATGGGAAATTCTCGCAAAATGTAAGATATTTGACAATGAAAACTTCTAATTTTTGTTGGTCATGAGTTCTTCGTTAGAAAGTGTGAAAAAGACAAAGAAAGTGCCTTTAAATGGAGCAAAAAATCCAGGAAGGTGAGAATTGGGCCACCCCAACCCCCCCCCGCCTCCCCCCAATTGAAGGGTGTGGACATCTAATGGGGGAGGAGGGATCTTCATCTTAAATTTTCCTAGAGGATAGCTTGAGAGATTTAAAAATATGGCAAAAATTACCAAGATATCCTCTGGGGTAACTTCCACAATTAAATTGCATCCAAGGGGGTTCCAAATTTTTTATATCCGAATGGGATTATGAAGGGACCCCTCAATAGGGGGGGGGGGGTGCCTATATTAAATGGAATGGCCCATTTTGCTCAATGTTGTATTTAATTGTGAAAATATATGTATAAATCACAAGGTTTAAAATGGGCATACAATTATAGGTGAAGCCAGTTTTAAAAATGACATTGATTTTGGAGTTTGTTCGAGTTGTACTCTTGTACATAAGTATGTTGTCGCAGGTCGCACTGTGACTGTGAGGCATTTTTGAAATCATTTTATGTTTTGTTGTCTGTTAAGTTTAGTTATGGCCTTAGAAATAATTTGGCTTGGCTCTTGTATGAACCAGCTAGACAAGGTATGTTTTATAGTGTTGAACTCGAAGAACGATTTTCAACTATGATTTACAATGCAAATTATGTTTTACCGTATTTGATGTTGTACGTGTTACAAGTCGTCGTTGAAAAATGCCTTGTGTCACATTGCCTTTAAAGATGATGTCCACTCCTGTGCGCATGCGCGAACTTTGTTTACGTTTTGAACCGCTATATTTGTAAAATATGATATACTGAATATCTAACACTTTTCTGGTTTGCTATGTTTGTAAATCAATATAAACTCTATGTTTCAATTCAAAAAAGTTTGAAAGATGCAAAATTTAGGTTTATATCTGAGGGTTCACCTTTGTTATGAGCAGAACTGATGTGCAGAATGGAGTGGAAATCATCTTTAAGATGAAATAGTATTAACAAGTGTGATTTGATGGGTTTCACTATGTGTTGAAGGGTAACAGATGGTGATTAACTTCAGAATTTTGACACTTTTAGCAGAGCTGCAAAATTGCTGCTCAAAACTGAATTAATCACACTTAATTACAATAGACCTCACCGATTATTCTCTTTTACCCAATGGCCTCATTTCCATGTTGACTTATTTTAGCATGTCAGGGGCAGATAAAGATTATATTAAATCCCATGTTTTCCTGGACGAATTTGTTTCTTGCTGTTCTTAGGCTCAATAACAAAGTAAGAAAACGAGGTCATTGGGTGAAAAGTGAATAAACGGCAAGGTCTATTAGTTGCTTTGAAAAGTAGCAAGACAAATTAGACTACATCACTCAATTCTACCAGTTGACAAGCATTCCGTTGATCTGTAGTTATTAGTCGTACTGCTCGTACAATAGTATATTAGATACAGCACCTTGTCAAGACAACATTGAGCTAATGTGCAGGGGTGGAAAAAACAGGCGAGCAGTGCTTGCAGGAAATGTTAAACAGCTGCAGAAAATTCGTTTGAATGAAGATTCAAAATTTGAAGGAAACCTTAACACCCATGTCCCGCTGTGGGTGCAACAACATATGGTTGACAAACATAAGGCCACATAAAAAAATTACTTGTTTAGCGTCCACCCATTTTAATTTACAAAATTCTGCTAAATACAGGAAATCCAGTATATTACCACAGTCAAAACTCACTTTAATTCTTTCAAAATCCGTTCATGTTTTTTAATGCCGTTCATGTTTTTAACAAAACAGAAAATTACCGTTTGGCGGTCACGCGCGAACACTTTAGCTGCGAACAGGCATATTCTGGGAAGGAAACTTTGTGTAAACGTATTACATAGCTCCCAGAAGAATAAAATCACCATTTTTTCAAGTAAAACGGTCTTTTTTATAGAGAGTTTTTGCACTAAACTCGGACAGATTTAAAAAAAAAAAATTAAAAATTTGAGGTCGGGGACTTTTATCAGGTCGGGCGGGGACGCTATAAAACAAGTAATTTTTTTTATGTGGCCCAATTCCTTGAATTTAAAACCATGTTCAGCTAAAACACTATATGTTTATGCAGATTTAGCACAAAAATTCTTCGATGGGCGTTGGTCTGCAGGAAATTTTTGTTTCCACTCTCCAGGCTGTGCTTCCAGGAAGAAAATTCTTTTTTCCTGCCCTGCCTGCTTCCATTCTCTGCTGTGACCCCCAAACAACTCATTGCTTTCACAATTTCATAATAATTTCTTACATATATAAACATCAAGAATAAAATATTATAATATATCAAAACATTCATCAATTCTCATTATTTCCATCTTAAGATTCGTTTATAAGTTTTCTTAAACTCCTTATTATGCAGTCCATATAAAAATGGGTTTAACATACTGTTTAGAAACCCAAGGATAAGCAAAAATTGTTCCACGTAAAATGGCGGAATACTGCACGAAAGGTTGGATTTAAAGCACGCATTGACATACATACTCGTGATAGTATGCGGATACCAGCACAAGAAAAACGTTCCCACGATAATTGCGAGTGATTTTGCCGCCTTAACGTTTTTTCGAAGCATCGAGGTTCCGTTTATTGAAAACGTGCGTGATTTGCGTTTTCCGTTATTGTTTCTGCGTGTAACCTCCACGTTTGAATGTGTAGAATTCTTTCTTTCGTGCAATAAATCCATTTTCGCGTGCTTGATCTCTATTTTTGCGTGCTTGGTATCCATATTTGCGTGCGTGGAATCTTTTCTTTCGTGCTCAATTTTGTGATTCGCGTCTTCGTCTTTCTTACCAACGTGTGGAAATTTGTGATTCGCGTGCGGAGGGCTCAAGTACGTGTGGTTACCATTGTGGTGCGTTTCCAACTGAATCGGGGAACACGAACCTGCTCTTGATGATCTTCGACTATTATTAGTTGAATGTATCATCCCATTTAGAGAAGCTCTATCGTTTAGAGTCACGCTTTCCAAGCGGTGAATCCTTCTTATATGTCCTCGGGCTATTAGATAAATTTTGAAATATATCGCTGTCATTATCAGAGGTGGAATAACAAAATTCAAGACAGACATCATTACGGAATAGTGCCAGGCAATATCAAACGAACAAGCGTCAGCGGTACTATTACTTGCAGTACAGTTACTTGGTGTTGTAGTTGGCCATGGGGTTGTATCTTTCCATCCCATCAATGGTAAAAAAGCCATCAGGGTTGAATAGACCCATATGAATGTGATCATCATTGACGCACGAAATGGCGTGGTCTGTCGCTTGTAGGCGAACGGGTCACGAATAAGCCGAAATCGATCTATACTGACTGCAAGTAAGTTTAAAGTCGAGGCAGGTGCTGAGACCAGGTACACTGTGGTATAGAATTGACAAAATGTTTCCCCGTAAGACCAGGAGCCTTTCTTTACGATCAGTTCCAAATCCCAAGGCATCACGAAGATCGTCGTGATCAGATCACTTATAGCTAGACTTAGGATAAAAAAATTCGAGACCGTTCGTAAGTGTTTGTTTATCTTGAAAGCGAGACACACCATAGAGTTTCCTATGATTGAAATAGTTATGATGATTGCCAAGCATACAATGAAGAAATATCTCATTCTTTCAGCCGTTTGTGATTCTGATTCCGAGCATGGTATGTTTGATATGTTGGAGGATATAGATGTGTTTTCTAGACTTAAGTTTGACATCGTCGTACTTCTATAATTCGTGTGAGGTTAGGCTTCTTTCAAGGGCCACTCGATGTCCTCAAATTGGTTATAATCTGATCCTTTCCAAAGTCAGATAATTCCAATTACATTCATGCACTTAAGTTTGTTTGATTCATTCCATAAGGTTGACAAAAATTCTTGAATTGTCTTCTTAAGTTTTGGTTAGTTTTACACGGTTCAGATTCTTTGAAAGCTCGGATAATTCTTATAAAAACCTGATGTGTTCTTTATTTTCTTTGACACATCAGATTACCTTAAATTGTTGTCTTGTTTATCTTTGCTTGTTTTGCAATCATGTAATGCGATTCAAATTCTTTCAAAGATCGTATGAATCTGAAATATTTCCACTTTTCAAAATATTAACACACTTTCTTTAAGTTCTTGCACATAGATGATTGTCAATTGTTGAGGTTTCTTCTGTGGTTGTTTAAAACGATTTCAAACCTTGCTACGGAAATACTCGAGGCAGTAGTCACTTATCTTTGTCCTCCAGTTTGACCTTGAGTAACCAGAACAATTCTTGAGATTTAACTTGAAAGATTTCCAGTAATATACCGGCCAAGATTATATTGACGTATTTCCGATTCTTTAAAGCTAAAACAGAATTATTTTGAAACAAAATTACTAGAATCAGTTGCAACTGGAGTATGCACTCCACAACAAAGATTCTTTGCCAGGGATTAAACACGGGCTCAGTCTTCTCAGTTCAGGCGAAATGGAACTACACGGCCATTTTGACTATACTTAAGTTACAGAACTGTAAACTTCATTATATGATTCCTGTCAAGTGCCAATAGTTTATCTCGTGTTTATTCAGCAGTGGACGAACTCGTCGACCAGATATTTGCTTTTCACAGCATCAAATGAATACTAAATAAGACCAGAACGGTGCTGCCTTTGTCGGTAACTGCATGTACACTAAATGATAGATTATCATCGATGCTTAAACATGCCAAGTGTCATGTCCTAATCTCTTCAATGAATTGGTGTAATTTCTCTAGGTATTTATCACTTTATTAATTATTTAAACAGGCCTGTTTGTGTAACGATATCCTTGAATAAAATAACACTGTGTTAATAATGTGACCATGCTAAGTAGACCAACTTTAATTTATGAACAATTTCTTATCGCTTCGTATAAACAATTGTGTAGGAGGGCGATAAGTATGGTTGCCAGGAAATTAGTTATATTGGCGCTTGCTTGTTTGGTTTCCTTTACTTTAGCCTCGGATAAAATATCAATACAAACAAACTTTATTCAAACAGAGCTAGCAATATACTGGTAGTAATTTTTCAAATCCGACTGTGAGGACTGGACTAAATTTCTACTCCAGTCCAAATAGACCTTTCCCCTTATAACCAAAATTTTGATCTAGGCAAGTCTAGACAAATATTTCATCACAGCTTGAAAGAGCATCACAAAATTAGTAATGTTCCAAAGTTTTGTTACAAAATGTTGTAAAATGAGGAAAATAGAGCCTTGCGAAATTTGCAATTTTCAGTCATTTTGCATCACAAACGGGAAATTGCAGCCCCAACACCCGAATCGGATGTCAATTTCCCGTTTGTAATACAAAATGACTGAAAAACGGCCAACTTCGCAAGGCTATATTATCCGTATTTTACAAGAATTTGCAACAAAACTTTGGAATATTACTAATTTTGTGATGCTCTTTCAAGCTGTGATGAAATTTTTGTCTAGATCGAAATTTTATTTATAAGGGGAAAGGTCCATTGCACACGATTAAATTGTAGAGTAAATCATCACCCTTAAATATAGTCAACGCAAAAATTATACATGCTACGCAAAAAAAGTTTTTAAGAAAAATGTGGGTCATATGAACCTACGAAAAATATATTTGTATGGTTCAGTTAAAGAACTTATTATACAATAAATTTATCGAAATGCAGTCACCTTTGGTTATTTCCTTGCATAATACGACTTCTTGCACATGCAGACTGTACTAATTATTTCTAGTTTTCAGGTTGTCACATATATTCTGCTTGCATTTTCACAGAGAAGCAAAACATGGAAGTCGCTTCCATTTTGAGTTTTTGACAGGGCATTTTTTAACTATTTAACTACTGAGGCATTTAAGTTATTTAACCCAGTAGGCCCTTCGCTTGCCCCGGCAGTGAAGCATGATTTTCTTATGAGCTGGTCCCTTCTGATCATTAGTAAAAAGTCAGCTAGTCAACCTTGTTGAAAAAGCTGCATCTGCCTGCTTTCTCATATCCTCTTACATTCTCGACATTCAATCTTATAAATGGCAGCACAGGCGGGGGGGGGGGCTGTGATCCACTCAGGGTCCAGCCCCTGCCACTCCCGGTGGAACACACCCTCTCCCCCTCCCCCCAGTCGTCAGGTAGTTGGCAAATCATCTAATCCCAGTTGGATAGGAAGAAAGAAACTGAAATATTTAAGTGACACTTTTTAAAAGCTAATAATTGTAGCTAAAATTAAAGAACTAATAATTGAAATTTAGCATTTTTGATATCATAAATAATCTCACATGCGAGATTATCAGTTTTATTGGTGCTGGAAATCTCAATAATGCACTATACTTTATATAATTAAAATACTCATTAATAATCCATAAACCTTGTGGCAAATCATGTCAGCCATAATATTTCACGTGCGAGACTTTATATCTGATGAAACTCATCTTTGTTCATCCTAACCAGTGCTATTCTTTTGTTGTCTTATTTAAAGCTATTCAAAACACTTGTTGTCGTGTTTTTATTAGACATAAAACGCTCGGCTGCCTCGCGTTTTAGAATTACAAACCACAAACTTCTCTTCAATGCAAAAAAATGATGGCAATAGCAACCTCTTCTAACATGTGAGCGAAACGATAGTAGATTTCAGGGACGTGCTGGCGTCTTAAAAAGGACGTTGAATGAGCAACGTCTGCTGGGGCCATGGCGCAGCGAAGAATGGCTCAATATTAATATTTTTCCAAAAATTTTTGACGAGCGGGGGGGTGTCGCCAATTTTTTCCGGATAAACAAAAATTTGTCCGCACATATTGTAATTTTTCCTGGAACCCAAAAATTTTTCCGGACGTATCGTAATTTTTCCGGAAATACTAAAATTTTTCCGTACATATCGTAATTTTCCGTCCCACATACAAAAAATTTTCGGTAATATTTTCGTAAATTTTATTTTTACACTATAAATTGTAATTTCTTAATCTTGATTTTGAAAATTAAAATCTATATTTTTTATCTTTTCCATGTTTTAATTTTAGAGGCCCATGATAGCAGGGCCCCCAACGAGTTCTCGTTGGCTCGCCCTAGCCAGCACGTCCCTGGTAGATCTTTGCTGGTCACCAGAATGACGGCAGTTGCATGGCTTTACGTTAATATTTACGTATTAATTCACTGCGTTCAAATGTGAGTGGAATATCTTCACTGATCTTATTACTAATTGTAATTAAGAAATTAAATACAGGCATATTTTGCTTGATAGTATACTTCAAAATAAGGTTTCCGTTTTTATAACGTAGAAAAAACTATCCTAACGCAAAACTAAACCCTAACCCCAACCCTAACCCTAACCTAACCCTAACTTATTTTAAAAATTGGAAAAAAAACGGAAACCTTATTTTGAAGTATACTATCTAGCAATTTCCATTTTGCTTGTCACCGGCATGACACCAAGAGGACCTATTGTAACTGCGTGTGTGTGTATGCATAATTAATAAGTATATTTAATTTATTCTGTTATATAAACAGACTTGCAAAGTGTGATAAATATATAGTCTTGCGTAAGAATCAAAAGTGAACATTAAGCGTTAGTAAAGAGAACACTAAAAATAATCTAAAGACATCATTATATCTCACGGATACTTCCCATAAAGAGTTTAACAAGGGAAAGACCGTCGAGATACCGTTGAATCGGTTATTGTAAAGTAATAAAATTAAAGAGATTTAATCAGTCTTGTGTGTTAAAGTCAATGCTGCTTTACGGTGAGCAAGCGCCGTCACAGTGAGATATATGTCGCTAAATGGAGACTGTTTAAGTAAAGAGGACAAAGAGAATATTATGGAAAGTTCGAGGTCACTGCCAGAAATAAATAGATCGAAGTTTGTGAGTTTGACCGAAAATTCTAAAGACGAAAGACCTCGAAGCGAAATCAATGATGCGGCTCGAAGCAGAAGGTTAACCGCTAAAGGCGAAGCATATGTCGAAAACAAGTTACTTCAGGATCGAACGTTAGCTGGCGCCGCTCTTCGAAGGAAAATTACCTACATAAATCGTATGCTCGAACAGCCGAATGAAATTTCAGTTTTAGAAAAGCTACGAGAAGACTTAGATTCATTGCGAGAAAGATTAGACGAAGCACATCAAATCTATTATTCAAAAATTAATCCTGGTGAAATCAATGAAGCGTACCAATGGTATGATATCCGAGATCGTGAACATTTTCAATGCCGTAGAAGAATTAACGAAGCAATAAAGCAACAAGAACTTGTGATGGCACCCGAACGTTTTTCACAGAGAAGTTCGCGTTCAAAATCATCACGTTCGTCGGGAAGTTCATCGTCGTCCGTGCGTTCTAGATTAGCGAAAGCCGCAGCCAAAGCTGCAACACTTCAAATCGAAATGGATTTTATTGATCGAGAAGCAGAGCATAAAAGGCAGAAAATGTTAAAGGAAATCGCCAAAGCTAAAGCCGAAGAAAAAGCTATGAAAAAATTAGAGGAAGAATTCGCGTTAAAAGAGACAATTTCGACCCACCAAAATAATGATATGGAGGCTTATTTTGAAGCAAACAACCATCGCGTGATAAATGTTAAAGAATCTGGTCAACCGAGACATGTTGAGCGTACAGTCCTGGACTCGAGTTCGTGTATTCACAAGGACGATCCTATTAAGCAAGAGTTCGTTCCCGAGCAAATTGATCCTACACTATTGGAAAGTCAACAAGATGGGTTCATCCCAAAGGTCGAGTTGAATAAAGCACGAGATAACTCAAATCATAAGCAACAAAATGAAACTGGTACTGTTGGTTCAGTATTGATGCAATTGGCAAAACAACAAGTTTTGAACTCTTTGCCCCAACAGCAACCACCCGTGTTTTCTGGAAATTATTTCGATTATCCTTACTTCGTGAGTGCATTTGACTCGTTGATTGAAGCCAAAGTTGACGACCCGAAGCAGAGACTTTATTATTTGAATCAGTTTACTAGCGGTGAAGCCAGGGAGATGATTAAAGGCCTGGTCACTTTGAATTCACCAGATGCGTACAGCAAAGCAAGAAATATTCTCAAAGAACGATTTGGACATCCATATCGCGTTGCACAAGCATACAAAGAAAAGTTAATGAGCTGGAGTCCTATTAAAGACTCGGGAGATGGTGTTAATCTACAGAGACTCTCAGATTTTCTTGTTCAAACTGAAGAAGCTATGAAAACAATTGAGTATATGGAAGTGTTAAACAACGAAGATATCTTGAAGAAAATCTGCTCAAAACTACCTAATTTCGCCATTCCAAGATGGTGTCGATGTGCCAATGAAATTCTTACGAAGGGGAATATGGTTAAATTTCATGACTTTGTCGAGTTCGTGAAAGCTGAAGCAGAATTCGCAACAAATCCAGTTTTTTCTCCATACGCTATTAAAGAAGAGAGAAAGGGTGATAAGAAGTATGAAACTAGAGAACAAAATTCCCGATATTGGAGAAGAAATGAAAATTCAAGCAGCTTTCGCACTCAGCTTGGTTCCCAAACACCGAAAGGCGGAGTGAAGACCCTCGTAATGCGTAAGTGTATTCTGTGTACAGAGAATCATCCATTAGCAAGTTGTCAGAAGTTTAAAGAAATGAAATTGAAAGACAGGATAGACTTCGTTAGAAAGAAGGAATTGTGTTTTGGATGTCTTGGTATGGGTCATCTGTCAAACCGATGTCTCGCAAGAAAGAAGTGTGACGTCTGTCAACTAAAGCACCCCACTCTATTACACGATCCAGCTAGGTGTGGTTCTAAGAAGGAGTGTTCGACTCAAACTCCGACAGATAACCAGAGTGTAACGCCTAACAATGACACTATGGAAAACTCTATAAGCGTATGTAATGCTACTGAATCCAGTCACGGGTGTAACGAAGACACAACAAGTTCCATGATCTTACCAGTATGGTTGTACCACCAAGAAGATCCAGATAATCAAATAATGGTGTATGCTCTATTGGATCCGGCAAGCAACGGAACATTTATCAAGACTGAAACTCTGAACAAACTCGGAAGAAAGGGTAAAGATATTAATCTGCGTCTTAACACCATGCATGGCAGTGAAATAATTACAACACAGAAGATCACTGGTCTTAAAGTAGAAGATCTGGAAAGAACCACCCAAATTGAGTTACCAAAGGCTGTCTACTGTCGAAGTGATATTCCATCGAGGAGAAGCGAGATCCCTCGTCCTGAAATGGCTAACAAGTGGGACCACTTATGTGAACTAACCACGAAATTAAATCCGTACCAAGAAAGAATAGAGATTGGTCTGCTAATAGGATCAAATTGTCCAAAAGCAATCAAGCCACAAGACGTCATACCTGGAAACGAAAATGACCCGTATGCAATTAGAACTCTTCTTGGTTGGGGAATAATTGGTCCTGTTTCCACGATTGAGCATAATGATCTCGTACAAGATCGATTTTCGTGTAACAGAATTATCACGACGGAGATTGCGTCACAAAAACAGTCTGGTGTTATCTTTGTTCCTGAAAGTCACGTGAAAGAAATTATCGATCCAACGGCAATTGTTAGGATGTTCGAACTTGATTTCAACGAAAGATGTGATGCTGCTGTCAAGTATTCGTCAGTTGATGACCAGACATTCTTAAGAAAGGTTTCTGAGGGAATTCATCTTAGAGAAGATGGACATTACGAGATTCCTCTGCCGTTCAAGGAGAATGATATCAAGTTACCCAACAACAGAAAGTTAGCATCGTATCGCTTACAACAGTTAAAGTCGAGATTTGAGAAAGATGACAAGTATAAGAAAGATTACGTTACATTTGTGAATGATATGATAAAGAAAGGATATGCAGAACGAGTTCCACCCTCAGAAGTTACAACCGAAGAAGGCAAATGTTGGTACATTCCACATCACGGTGTCTACCATCCTAAAAAACCATCGAAGATTCGTGTAGTATTTGATTGCTCCTCGCAGTATAAAGGAGAATCCATCAACAAGTATTTGTTGCAGGGCCCAGACCTTACGAATAAGCTGATTGGAGTGCTGACAAGATTTCGACAAGAAACTGTTGCCTTCACAACTGATATAGAAGCGATGTTCCATCAAGTTAAAGTTACGAAAGAATGTCAAGATTTCCTTCGTTTCCTTTGGTGGCCAAACGGGGAGACGAGTGAAGAGATTGAAACTTATCGGATGACAGTTCATTTATTTGGAGCGACATCGTCTCCGGGGTGTTCAAATTTCGCGTTGAAACGAACAGCCGATGATAACGAACAAGAGATTGGAAAGAATCCGGCAGAATTCTTGCGAAAGAATTTTTACGTCGACGATGGGCTTAAGTCTGTTTCTTCTAACCGTGAAGCTGTAACCTTGATAAGACAAGCGAAAGAAATGTGTGGGCGTGGCGGATTTAATTTATGCAAGTTCATAAGCAACAGAAGAAAAGTCATCGAAGAAATTCCTCAACATGATCGAGCAGACGCTGTTAAAGACCTTGATCTCGAAGCCCTACCAATCGAAAGAACGCTGGGTGTACAATGGTCCATCGAAGCTGACAACTTTGAATTTCGAATTATTTTACAAGACCGACCACTAACAAGACGTGGAATTCTTGCAACAGTTTGTTCCATTTATGATCCATTGGGTTTTGTAGCGCCGATAATCTTGACTGGGAAACGAATTCTCCAAGATCTTTGTCGCAACCAAGTGGACTGGGATGATGAAATTCCGGCGAATCTAAAGATGAAATGGGAAAAATGGCGAAATGAACTGCCCTGTCTAAAAGAATTATCAATTCCGAGATGTTTCAAACCAGAAGAGTTTGGTGAGATTAAATCTGCCGAACTTCACAACTTCTCTGATGCAAGTAACATTGGATATAGTCAGTGTTCCTATCTTCGCTTGGCCAATGCTGAAGGAAAGATTCATTGTTCACTGGTCATGGGAAAGGCAAGAGTCAATCCACTTAAAACCGTATCTATACCTCGATTGGAACTGACAGCAGCATTAGTTTCCGCAAAGGTAAATGATTTAATGAAATGTGAACTTGAGTATGACATCAAGAAGGAAACATTTTGGACGGATAGTCAAATTACTCTGGGATACATTGGAAATGACTCCAAGAGATTTCACGTGTACGTCGCGAATCGTGTTGCTCAAATCCGCTCGAAGACCACTAAAGAACAATGGAATTACATCGATTCAAGTTCTAATCCAGCTGATGACGGATCCCGAGGCATGTCAGCAATGCAATTCCTGAAGAATCCAAGATGGATAACAGGCCCAAGATTTCTATGGCAACCTGAAGACCAATGGATTGAACCTACCCCAATCGAAGTTATCCCATTAGAAGATCCCGAAGTTAAACAATCCTGTTTTTCCACCAATGTGAAAGAAACATGGTCCCTCGGTAAAGCAATGGAAACTTTCTCTACTTGGCAAGGTGCAAGATCAGCGGTCGCCATTTGTCTGATATATCGGTTGAAGCTGCTGAACAAAGTCAAGGTGAACCAATCCACAGTTAAAGACAATATATCATCTGGCAATAAGTTAACGGTGACGGTTGAAAACTTGCGGAAGGCAGAAATCGAAATTTACAGATCAGTGCAATTGACTCATTTTGAAAAAGAAGTACATGCGTTAAAAGTAGATGAACAGAATACAGGTGAAAGTTGTGGAGAAGACATTCTTCCAAATTCCAACTACGTGACGAAGTCAAGTCCGTTGTATCGTCTGAAGCCATTTCGCGACGCCCTTGGAATATTACGAGTTGGTGGTCGAATTAAGCACGCTGACGTCCCTTATGATTCGAAATTTCCAATTATTCTCCCTCGGAGCAGTCACGTAACAGTTTTGGTAATACGATATTATCATGAAAAAGTTGCTCATCAAGGTCGCGGGATAACGTTAAATGAAATTCGAAGCAACGGTCTGTGGATTATTGGAGGATCATCTGCGGTAGCATCTACCATAAGACAATGTGTTACATGTCGAAGGTTAAGAGGTATTGCACAAGAACAATTGATGGCAGATTTACCAGAAGATAGATTTGAACAAGCAGCACCTTTCACCTATTCTGCTGTTGATTACTGTGGGCCATGGTATATAAAAGAACGTCGAAAGGAACTTAAAAGATACGTTGCTCTCTTTACTTGCATGGCATCTCGAGCAGTTCATCTTGAAGTTTCCAATACCATGGACACGGACTCGTTTATACAAGCCTTAAGACGTTTCCTATGTCGGCGAGGTCCAGTGCGTCAACTAAGAAGTGATAGAGGTTCCAACTTTATTGGTGCTCAACGCGAATTACGTCAAGCATTGGAAGAGATGAATGAGGAGAAAATTCGAGTTGAACTTTTAAAGCATAATTGTGATTGGATTGAATTCAAAATGAATGTGCCCAAAGCAAGTCATTTTGGCGGAGTCTGGGAACGCCAGATTAGAACTGTTCGAAGTGTTTTGAATCCTTTGATGCGAAATAACAGTACTTATTTGGACGATGAAACCTTTCGCACACTTATGTGCGAAGTCGAATCTATTGTTAATTCTCGGCCGTTGACAGTCGACAATTTGAATGACCCACATTCTCTCTCACCACTTACGCCGAATCATCTTCTCACTATGAAGACAAAGATACTATTACCACCTCCTGGCAACTTCCAAACTAAAGAAATATATTCAAAGAAACGATGGCGAAGAATTCAACATTTAGCAAATGAATTTTGGGCAAGGTGGAGAAAAGAGTTCCTTCACTCTTTACAGGAAAGATCAAAGTGGAACAAGCCCCGCCGAAACATTCATACTGGAGACATTGTACTACTAATGGACGAAGGCGAAATTCGAAATAGATGGAAACTAGCAAGAGTTGTGGAAACGTATGCTGATGAAGCCAATTTAGTCAGAAGTGTTAAATTAATTATCGGAGACGCCCAGTTAAGTGATAAGGGAAGAAGACTTCGTGATCAATCCGTGTTAGAAAGACCAATTCATAAACTTGTTCTTTTGGTGGCTAATGACAGCGATTAACTTAAAGTTAAAAATTAATTTGTATTGAGAAATCAAAGACATTTCTGTGGGGGGAATGTAACTGCGTGTGTGTGTATGCATAATTAATAAGTATATTTAATTTATTCTGTTATATAAACAGACTTGCAAAGTGTGATAAATATATAGTCTTGCGTAAGAATCAGTAAAGTGAACATTAAGCGTTAGTAAAGAGAACACTAAAAATAATCTAAAGACATCATTATATCTCACGGATACTTCCCATAAAGAGTTTAACAAGGGAAAGACCGTCGAGATACCGTTGAATCGGTTATTGTAAAGTAATAAAATTAAAGAGATTTAATCAGTCTTGTGTGTTAAAGTCAATGCTTTACGGTGAGCAAGCGCCGTCACAAATGGTACATGCTGATATCGTATGGTGAAGTTCCGGAGGGTAAATTTTATACATTTATTAGACCCAGCATGGAGCAGCTGCGAAAAATGCTACTACAGGGTGTATCAAAAAAAGCGCAATCCTCGACTGAAATGTAAATTGCTAAACAAATAATAGACGAAAACGTTAAAGTTTACATTCATTTTAAAGCGTAGCCATTCAGCTTTCTAACAGTGTGTTGTTTCTTAAATTTGACTCATTGG